AATTAATGCATTAGAATCATGTTTTTGCAATGTCCCGGGGGTGTACCCCCAGGGCCAGGCCATTGATATGTGCATTACATACAAGTAGTAATCGAGTTGAAATATTATATAATAGTAATAAATTATAGTATATTTCAATAAAGGAATGTATGGTACAGTACAAGTGTTTCATTAAAATTTTGAAAAATGCCTCACCTGTAGTGCTTTTCAGCTTTTGTTGTTTATTTATTAACATATGGAAACAGAATCACCATAGTCCTCGAAATTTCAAAAGTTTGTTTCCCATCATGACAATTATTTCAATTTCTCGTTAATTTAGTAATTTATTACTCATTTTCTACGGCTCCACACAAAATACTGTAGGTCTACTAGGTCTGCACCTACCGATACTCCAAAAGCATACATGCGACATGGGCAAAAATACCACCATTCGTTCAGCTCATTTATATTATCTGTTTGGATCATCATTTATACATTTCACAGCAGAAATTGTGGAGATAGTCGCTCGAATGAATTAAAGCTCCAGCTTGAACATGATAGTAGTTGGTAAAGTTCAGAAGAAACCTTTTACCCTATATGTAACTATAAATATTTACTAATCTTCTCCAATGTACTCCTTTTTTAAAAATTATAAAGATCAGTGGCTCTCTGGTCAGGGGGGAGTGGGAAATGTCGCCCGCACGCATTTGAGCTGTGGTCAGTTAACGTACCATGAGAATAGTGGACGTGGAGCTCGAAATCCGCCATGTTTTTGCGGACACTTTTCATTTGCGAGCACGGTCTCCAGATATATATAGTAGAGCTCAGTGGGGCCCACACATGGACGTCACGATGACGTCAAGAGGATGCACGTCATAAAATATTTGACTCAGCAAAATACAGGCATGTGTATATACATGCCCCGCTTGCATAGACATGCCCGCTTGAGGAAATATATATATTTAATAATGGTTTTAATTATTTGGTTGTCCTACGCCAGACAAATATGGTATACTCCACTCAAATCTCTACGTACACTGGTGCATTGCATGGTATGCCTTGGGTAATCCCCATTAAAAAATGGTTAAGTATACTATTAGTACACTCGAGTATAAAAGGTACAAAAACCCCCTCTGGCTGTGGCTTTATGCAAGCAATATTCAGCATTGTTCTTTGGCACTTTGCCTTAGGAGTTTAGCAGTTTATAGGTAATCCGGTAATGCCCTTTGGAGTTTGGACTTGCGTGCGTTGGTTGTAAATGATCGGTAATATGTCTTCAATAGACACAGGAAGTGTTAAAATATAATCTTATAAATATTCAGCTTAAACAAGCAAGTTTTCTATGATAAGTTTTGATATGACAAGTTTTAATATTTGCTCGTCATGCAATATAAGCAACTTCGCCAAGTTCAAAAGCTAGTATGCCATACAAATTTTGCCCATGGGTCAAAACAGAAAATTTGGCAAAGTATAATTTCAGCATCTGCACCGGCGGTTGGTCAACGATCTATTGGTGTAATTAGCTAATAATAATACACTAAATAGTGGGGGGTCACAACACCAAAAACATGCCATAGAAAATTTGTTGAATGTCCACATGTGCAATTGATAAATAAAGTTTGTCATATAGGCCTATATCAAAACTTGTCATAGAAAGCTCCTCTGTACCCAACACGAAATTACCAAGCCCACATTTGCATTATAACATATAAGTCATATATAAATCTAGATATAGTTCAAAGATATAAAGATATAATATATACTATAGAGTTCCAACTAGATCATATTTTGAACGAAGGATGAACAAATGGTAGACTACTCCACCATGCGCAGGAAGAATTATGACATGTTGCAAAGTGTAAAAATGCCAGCTAATCATGTTATTGTCTTATGCTAGTTCCTCTACAGCAGCAGGGTCTGCAATCTTTTGACACAGTTTTGGATATAACTCTCCATTCCTGTGATCACAGTAGGAATTCAGATCTTGACATACTAGCTCCCCTAAAGAGAAACTATACCATAAGACAATAATTGATTAGTTGGCATTTTTACACTTTGCCACATCACACATGTCATAATCATTCTTCTCGGCAAAACCAAAGGAGTATATAGTCTACCATTTGTCCATTCGTCGTTTAAAATATGTGATCTAGTTAGAACTATATACTATACCTTGAATAATATCTAGATTATATATTATAATGCAAATGTAGACTTGGTAATTTCGTGTTGGTGATAACGAGATTGAGTTAAAGTCGGGTACAGACGAGTTTTCTATGACAAGTTTTGATATATGACAAACTCAGTTTATTTCAGTATCAATTGCACGCACGTGGACGTTCAATAAATTTTCTGTGGCAAGTTTTTGGTGTTCTGACCGCCACTATTTACATCGCTGATCAGCACTTTGTCATATAGTGTCATAATTCTTCTTGAGGAGTACTCACTACTGTACAGAGGAGTACTGCAGTCTACCATTTAATTTGTTTATCCACCCATGAAAAATTCCTACTGTGATCACAGAAATCTTGACAGTGTAAACCAGGCTAATCAAAACTAGTAGAATAGTTCTAAAGTTCTAAGGTAAAACTCTATGCTTCCCCCAGTTTGCTACCAAGAAGTGTTAATTTAAACCATTCAGACATAGTTGTGAGATGAGCACTACCTTACGTCAATGTATTATAATTTTATAAACTCTATGGTTTCCCCTTAGTTTGCTAAAAAGAAGAGTTCATTTAACTCAGTAAACATTCAGACATAGTTGCATGTGAGATGAGCACTATACCTTACGCCAATGTATTATAATTTTATAAACTCTATGGTTTCCCCTTAGTTTGCTAAAAAGAAGAGTTCATTTAACTCAGTAACATTCAGACATAGTTGTGAGATGAGCACTATACCTTACGTCAATGTATTATAATTTTATAAACTCTATGGTTTCCCCTTAGTTTGCTAAAAAGAAGAGTTCATTAACTCAGTAAACATTCAGACATAGTTGTGAGATGAGCACTACCTTACGCCAATGTATTATAATTTTATAAACTCTATGGTTTCCCCTTAGTTTGCTAAAAAGAAGAGTTAATTAACTCAGTAAACATTCAGACATAGTTGTGAGATGAGCACTACCTTACGTCAATGTATTATAATTTTATAAACTCTATGGTTTCCCCTTAGTTTGCTAAAAAGAAGAGTTCATTAACTCAGTAAACATTCAGACATAGTTGTGAGATGAGCACTACCTTACGTCAATGTATTATAATTTTATAAACTCTATGGTTTCCCTTAGTTTGCTAAAAAGCAGTGGCGGCGCCAGGGGGGAGGGGCAAGGGGGGAAAATGCCCCCCCCAAATTATTTTTTGCCCCCCCCCCCTATTTTGCCCCCCCTCAAAAAAATTATTAGTCACTAAGAGCGACTAAAGGCTACACAAGCGTTCTGTCGTTATCGGAAAATGTATGGCTTATAAGTTGTCATTACTCATTAGTGAATGCGCGTACACATGAAACTGTTTTTTACAGTTTCAATATTAGTTTGTAAATCTCTGGATGGTAAAACTTGCCAATACTTCAATAATACGTTTCAGCTTTAGTTTTGCAGAGTTAAATTCTCAAACGTGTAAGGCAATAATAAGATAAAGTATTACGAAATTATTTGAATAAACCACATCGCATATATGGGGGGCCGAATGTCCTAAAGAGGGGCGATATTCCTAGGGTATTCGCCCCACCCCCCTGGGAGGCGATATTCCTAGGATATTCGCCCCCGGGGGCGATATTCCTAGGAATATCGCCACGTTTTGAGGGGGGGGGCGAATTTCCTGGGGGGGGGACCTTTTTAAAAATTCTAGTTTGCCCCTCAAATGCCCCCCAAAATTTGGAAGCCTTGCGCCGCCACTGCTAAAAAGAAGAGTTCATTTAACTCAGTAACATTCAGACATAGTTGTGAGATGAGCGCTACCTTACGTCAATGTATTATAATTTTATAAACTCCATGGTTTGCCCCTAGTTTGCTAAAAAGAAGAGTTCATTTAACTCAGTAAACATTCAGTCATAGTTCTCATGCAGATGCGCACTACCTCACGTCAATGTATTACAAAACTCCAACGCTTCCTCCAACCTGCATCCCTTGCTGCAACACTCCTCCCTGTAAGCGTTATAGAAGTCCTCACGCACGTAGATGTCGTCTGAAGAAGCTGATTTGGTTACTCCAACCTTTTTAACAAAACTGTTTGCTGTGTCTTGATTCATCAGAGGGTTGATAAGTTGCTCTAAAGATTGAGAGAAGAATTACTAGATATCACGAGTTTTAAATTGTTCTCCCTATAGTGGTCCAGTAAGGATCATCTCTTATTGATCCAGTGTTACTACAGGAGGAAACTTACAGTAACCTAACTTAATTGTACTAGATATTTCTATAATTTCTAAACAGTCCTCCCTAGAGGTCCAGTAAAAGTCATCTCTTCAGTATTGATCCAGTGTTACCACAGGAGGAAACCTAAACTAAACTAACTTTATCTACACTGGATAGCTCTATCAGTTCTAAACTGTTCTCCCTAGAGGTCCAATAAGTTCATCTCTTATTGATCCAGTGTTACTACAGGAGGAAACCTAAACTAAATTAACTTTATTTATACTGGATAGCTCTATCAGTTCTAAACAATTCTTGGTAGAGGTCCAGTAAGGATCGTCCTTTATTGATCATACAGTGTTACTGCAAGTGAAAACCTAAATTAAACTAACATATTTACACCGTATACTGTAGCTCTATCACTTCCAAATCGTTCTCCCTGGATGATCAAGCAAGAATCATTTCATCCAGTATAAATAAAGTTAGTTTAGTTTAGGTTTCCTCCTATAGTAACTAACACTGGGTCAATAAGAGATGATCTTTGATGAACCTCTAGAGAAAACAGTATATAACTGATAGAGCTATCCAGTATAAATAAAGTTAGTTTAGTTTAGGTTTAATTTTCTCCTGTAATAACACTGGATCAGTAAGAGATGATCCTTACTGAACCTCTAGGAAGAACAGTTTAAAACTGATAGAGCTGCCCAGAATAAATAAAATTACTTTCACTTCTGCCTTACTTTGCACTTTCGCTCTGGACTTCAGCCATCTTTCTCCTTTTCCAGGACAAAATGTTTTGAAGAATTTCGGAAATAAACGATTATCCATGCAGTACTTGAAATCAGGACGGTCGCGAGCGAAGAATTTTGCCTTTCTCTTGCACGAGACTTCAATAATTAGCAGTACAATGAAGAGCAGTAAAGCGTAACACGTTCTGGATAACATCTGGAATAGAAGAGAGCAGAATTGAATACAATTACAGAATGTATCAGAATTAGGCTTTACTAAGAATTGGGTTTTACAGAATTGGGTTCAGTTTACTAAATCACAATCGTGCAGCAGATAGTGCATGGTCACTCAAATGAACCTGCAGTTAAATTATTCAATTAAATGTAGTAGTCTCATATTTGGAGGAACATAAATACTATGATAAGTTTCCATATGACAAGTTTTATTGCATGAACTCTATAAATTACTGGTATAAATACTGGCGATTTGACAATATCACCAGTACTTATACCAGTATTTATAGAGTTCATATTCAAATCAGAACAGTACTGTACGTATCTCTGTTACAGTAAAACTGTAAAAGGAGATCAATTCTGAACTTTTAAGAAACGTCAATAGGTCAAGACTGGAAATTAGCTCGAGAAAACTTTGTCTCCAATCTTCTAGAAAGTCTGTTAAAGTACCCTGATGATGACGTATGAAATAGAATTTTGTCATCCTGATTAAAATTCAACCAAAACATTCAAAAGTTTCAATCGCCATGTAAAGAGCTTGCCTTAAAATGGATTATTAGATTGAACTATATGCTTTCATCTCCAATCATGCCCCCAAATTTTAAAACCGCGGTTACAGACGAGAAAGTTTTCTATGACAAGTTTTTATACAAGTTAGTGTCATATCTTATTTCACACGACAAGTTCTTTGCAATTGACAAATAAACTGACTTGTCGTATGAAAACTTACTCGGCTGTAACCGGTTTAAGAAACGTAGTTTAATACTCGTGCTCCTTTAGCAGGTTCGTAGTCTCCAAGACCAAAAGAATTAAAAGATTTTTTCTGCCTATTTTCAAACACTTTTCAAAGACCTTTGAGAGCAATCGGCTGTCGAAAAATTGCGAGTGTAAGCACCATTTTTACCCGGTAATTAGTCCGGTCAAATCACATCCTAAAATGCACCTTTTCGTCGATATTTGCGAAAACTTTGCTTCAATCAATCTATATTTTATTACCATTATAAATCATATAATCAATTCCTCACTAAAGAATTTAAAGACTTTTAAAGACTTTCTTCGCTTTTTCACACAATTCAAAGACTTTTCAAAGACCTTAAAGACCTGCATTCAAATTTAAAGACTTTCAAGGATTTCAAAGACCGCTACGAACCCTGTATAAGTTTCACCATTTCTGAAGCCTACCATCAAGTCCTTCTTACTGAAATCCTGCACCGATAAAATGCATTCGATGAGAATAAAACTGGAATGTAATCCAGTACGATGAACCGAACTCAACATAACCGATCAAAGCCAAATAGCACAAACAATTAAATACAATAAAATGATAACATCATATACTCATTTACTTTGACACTTTGTAACTTTATGAAGTGAAAATGTACTTGAACAGACAGGGGTCCACATCAAATTAGCAATAACTTAGTACCATTTTCCAAAGCAATTTCACATTTTCTTCAAGAAAACTTTTCAAACTTATGATTGACGGTAATTAAATATAGCACTGATCTTTACATGAGCACCAGTTAACACCTAAACATTATTGACAGGAATTGACAGGTAGATTCAAACCATCTCTGTAGGGGACCTGGATCCAAGGATTGGAATCGTTCATTATGATTTATGAACACCACTGATCTTTTTACCCAGTATTACAGAGGATCGTACATTCTCGTGCCCAGGATCACTGTAGGTAATGACAGTATATAGAACTCTGGAGAAACGTTTTAGACCCAGGTTTACGATGAAGAATTTTCATGTCATTCGAAGTGTCGGATTTTTTTCAGGCAGTTCAGACACTAACTACGGGTAGCTTGTTGTAGAATACTACCCACACTGAAACACCACGTTTGAGATATCTTTTTCAAATAGTACTATTTCAGACAGAAACCACGGCAGCTTATTGTAGAATACTGCCTACACTGGACCACCACGTTTGGGATATCTTTTTCAGGTAGTTCAGACACAAACCACGACAGCTTATTGTAGAATACTACCTACACTGGACCACCACGTTTGAGATATCTTTTTCAGGTAGTTCAGACACAAACCACGGCAGCTTATTGTTGAATACTACCTACACTGGACCACCACGTTTGAGATATCTTTTTCAGGTAGTTCAGACACAAACCACGGCAACTTATTGTAGAATACTACCTACACTGGACCACCACGTTTGAGATATCCTTTTCAGGTAGTTCAGACACAAACCACGGCAACTTATTGTAGAATACTGCCTACACTGGACCACCACGTTTGAGATATCTTTTTCAGGTAGTTCAGACACAAACCACGGCAACTTATTGTTGAATACTACCTACACTGGACCACCACGTTTGAGATATCTTTTTCAGGTAGTTCAGACACAAACCACGACAGCTTATTGTAGAATACTACCTACACTGGACCACCACGTTTGAGATATCTTTTTCAGGTAGTTCAGACACGAACCACCACAGCTTATTGTAGAATACTACCTACACTGGACCACCACGTTTGAAATATCTTTTTCAGGTAGTTCAGACACAAACCACGGCAGCTTATTGTAGAATACTACCTACACTGGACCACCACGTTTGAAATATCTTTTTCAGGTAGTTCAGACACAAACCACGGCAACTTATTGTAGAATACTACCTACACTGGACCACCACGTTTGAGATATCTTTTTCAGGTAGTTCAGACACAAACCACGGCAACTTATTGTAGAATACTGCCTACACTGGACCACCACGTTTGAGATATCTTTTTCAGGTAGTTCAGACACAAACCACGACAGCTTATTGTAGAATACTGCCTACACTGGACCACCACGTTTGAGATATCTTTTTCAGGTAGTTCAGACACAAACCACGGCAGCTTATTGTAGAATACTACCTACACTGGACCACCACGTTTGAGATATCTTTTCAGGTAGTTCAGACACAAACCACGACAGCTTATTGTAGAATACTACCTACACTGGACCACCACGTTTGAGATATCTTTTTCAGGTAGTTCAGACACAAACCACGACAGCTAATTGTAGAATACTACCTACACTGGACCACCATGTTTGAGATATCTTTTTCAGGTAGTTCAGACACAAACCACGACAGCTTATTGTAGAATACTACCCACACTGGACCACCACGTTTGAGATATCTTTTTCAGGTAGTTCAGACACAAACCACGACAGCTTATTGTAGAATACTACCTACACTGGACCACCACGTTTGAGAAATTTTAAACAAACCTGTGCTGGACTGCAATTGCGTTTTGCCGCAATTTCTTTGACCAGAGGTTCATCCATGAGGACAGGATCAGCTTCGCCACTGCCAGGGCGGTCAGGAGATCCCAAGGAAGAATACGCCGTAATGAGAATTCCTGTATGAATTAGAGAAAATTTATATTGATTTTAAAAAATCTGATTATTTAAACAGAATGAAAGTTGATTATCAAACACCCAGGATTATGTAAACACCATTAACAAACCTTTCTCCTCGCAGAATTTCTTTAGTCCAGGCTGAGGCAAGAATGGGTGAAGTTCAACTAAAGAAAAAACACAAACAAATTAACGTTGAAGGTAGATAACACGAAGAATAAATCTATTAGTTCTGAACTGCATGTTCTTCCTAGAGGTCCAGTAGGAATCATCTCTTATTGATCCAGTGTTACTACCGAATGAAACCTAAACTAAACTAACTTTATTTATACTGGATGGCTTTATCAGTTCTAAACTGTTCTCCCTAGAGGTCCAGTAAGGATACTCTCTTATTGATCCAGTGTTTCTACAGGAGGAAACCTAAACTAAACTAACTTTATTTATACTGGATAGCTCTATCAACTCTAAACTGTTCTTCCCAGACTAGAGTTCCAGTAAGGATCATCTCTTATTGATCCAGTGTTACTACAGAAGTAAACCTAAACTAAACTAATTTTATTTATACTGGATATCTCTATCAATTATAAACTGTTCTTCCCAGAATAGAGTTCCGGTAAGGATCATCTCTTATTGATCCAGTGTTACTACAGGAGGAAACCTAAACTAAACAAACTTTATTTATACTGGATAGCTCTATCAGTTCTAAACTGTTCTTCCTAGAGTTCCAGTAAAGATCATCTCTTATTGATCCAGTGTTACTACAGGAGGAAACCTAAACTAAACTAACTTTATTTATACTGGATAGCTCTATCAGTTCTAAACTGTTCTTCCTAGAGGGTCCAGTAAGGATCATCTCTTATATATTGATCCAGCGTTACAACAGGAGGAAACCTAAACTAAACTAACTTTATTTATACTGGATAGCTCTATCAGTTCTAAACTGTTCTTCCTAGAAGTCCAGTAAGGATAATCTCTTTAGTCTTATTGATCCAGATCAAGTCATCACCTTGATTAGTGGCAGGAACAATCTCGGCTGTTTCCAGAAGCGCTGCAATTTTGGTTGATGTTAAATTTGAAACCCCAATTGCCTTACAAAACCCTTTATGTACCAATTCCTCCATTCCCTGAAAAAATCCGTTTCAAAATTTTTAAAAGGTTGCCATGTGAAAAGGGACAACTGGCCTCTGTAGCTCAGTTGGTTAGAGCGTTGCAGCGGGATCACAGGGCCGTAGGTTCGATTCCTGGAATTTTTCGCAAAAGTCTTGTTACGACACACTGGCAACAGTTCACAACAGTTACAACAGCGTCGTCGAGTCAGATTCGAGTTCTATCTGGACGACAGTTGCAAGACAGTATTCATTACACAAAATTTTATAATTCTCTCAAATTTTCAGCAGTCAAAGTCAGAGTTGCCAAATTATATATAGAGAATAATATATGGTTGCGTGGAAATACCATGTTCCACACGAGAAATAAATCTGGTATTTCCAAGCACCCATGTATTTTTCTGTTTATTATATAAACAAAATTCGGTGAAAAACAATAAAACGTCCGTGGCAATGCGTTTTACAACAAATGATATTTTCACACGCAAAAATATCGTATTTTTTACGTGTGTTTAAATACGATTTTTCTCAGTGGCCAAAAACTCTATATACTGTAACACTTATGTTTATATAATAAATAATCTTCTTCACCAATGTGTAAGCTACAAGAAAATCCTAGTTGGAAGCTTTTAACAAAACATTCCAGCAGAGTATAACTTTCAGTACCTTCCACGTCTCACTCAGTCTCTTCTTGTCATAGCCAAGTACATTTTTACGATCTTCAGGTGTTGTCGGGAATCGCATGCCGTTCGCAAATGTACAGGGATGATGTATCTAAGAAAGAGATATATAATTATTTACAAAAAATTCTTTCGATATAGTTTGTATCGCCACGAGTCGACAACTAAAAACGCACAAGTTGTTATAGATCTGCAAACAAATTGTAAGCCAGGTTGTTGTGAAGCCGATGTCAGGATGTGTTCGCACTGCTTGTTCCCAGTTGTTGTGACAAGTCTGGAACAAGTTGTTATCATCTTGTTACAAGGTTGATGACGGTAACAGACTTGCTACAAGTTGTTCCAACAAGACTAATACCCACCGGGCACACGACGTTGTTTCGACGTTGAAATTTGGTAGAAAAAAGGTTGCGACGTCGACAACCTAATATCTACGTTGCTCTGACGTTGTTTTAAAAACATTGGTTCAACAGCAGCCAACAGACGTGGAATTAACGTTCATTCATGGTTAAATGTACGACGTCGATTTGTGAACCAATCTCAACGTTGTTTTAACGTGGATTCAACGTTGAATTATAGTTGACGAGATTGGCAACCTAATTTCAACGTTGTTTCAACGTCGAAACAGTAACGTCGATCCAATTTGCATAGTCAACCCTTTTTCAACGTCTATCCAACATCTGGAAGGTCATTTCCAACGTTGATTCAACGTTGGATAAACGTCACTTTGCCCGCTGGGTACAGGCTGTTCGTAACAAGTTGCTACGAGCTTGTTGTCGTCAACTTGTTAACAACTTGTTACGTGCAGACGATATCAGACTTGTTGGAACAACTTGTTGCGAGTCTGTTGGTCTCATCAACCTTGTTACAAGATGATAACAACTTGTTCCAGACTTGTCAACAACTGGGAATAAAATCAGTGGACAAACCACCGTGACTGAAAGGTATACCGAAATCCAGTATCCTTTATAACCACAAACCGCTGTGACTTTAAGGTACAGTATACTGAAATCTGGTATCCTTTATGGGGGAGAGGGTGAATAGGGGTATACAAATGCCGATCCGCCAAAATTTGAAGCAAAATCCGTGATCCGACAATGGTCTTGTATAAATTTGAATCCGCTAAAAGCTCTACTATGAAGTCACAATCCAGGATCCGAGCTAAATCCGCTGTATTACAGTAATAAGATCCGCAAATCCGTCTAAAATATTCGCCAGATCCGAAATCCGAACAATTTTTCTGTGAAATCCGACGATCTGAAAACCTATCCACCCCCCCCCACCCACCCCCCCTTTATAGCCACAAACCGCCATGGCTATATTTAACAAATATAAAACATTTTCCGTGTTGATATACAGTTATATCAACACGAGTGGAAATTGGGAAAACGAGAAATTGTGTGGAAACACGACGCCCGAAGGGCGGAGTGTTTTCACACAATTTCGAGTTTTCCCAATTTCCACGAGTGTTGATATAACTATATATCAATACGGAAAAATTGTTTTATATTTTTTTTATAATATTGCAATGTCAAAAGCCCGAAAGATAAGAAAAATTTCCGTGTTTACAAGCGGCGGAAAATTTCCCGTGTTGACATTGAGTTATATCAACACGGCCCTTAGCCAATCAGCGTTCAGAATTTACAAATGCTATATTATAAAAAGGTTTATCACATACTTGTACCTTTATCAGGTAGGAAGCAGCGGGACATAAAAACGATATCGTCCCGGATATCGTTTTTTGTCCCGGATATCGTTTTTTGTCCCGCTAAATTTCGCGCCTTGTCAAAACAAAGATGGCCGATTCGAGGTTCGTGTTGGTTGATGTCGAGAGTTTATCGAAGAAAACAAGAACGATAATACAAAATGAAAGACTTAAATTGTATACTATTTATATGAATGGTCTATTTATTTTCTAAAATCATATTTGTTCAGTAAATGATGAATTGTTTTGAATTCTAAAATGATCCTATTTTTTCAAAAATCAAAACTGTTTACTTTGGGTGTCAAACCCTGATAAAGGTACAAGTATATAATAAATAGGTTATCGTACTCGGGATTCGGTGATATCAGTTTTATCGCTCTCGGGACGATATCACAATTGTCCCTCGCTCGCTGCGCTCGCTCGTGACAATTGTGATATCATCCCTCGAGCGATAAAACTGATATCACCTCATCCCTTATATGATAACCTATATATACAAAAATCCAGTAACTTTTATAGCCACAAATTGCCTTGGCTATAAAATATACCAAAACCGAGTATCCTTTATAGCCACAAACCACCATGGGCATATAATGCATACTGAAAACCAGTATCCTTTATAGCCAGAAATCGCCGTGGCTATAAGGTATACCAAAATCCAGTGTCCCTTATAGTCACAAACCACTGTGGCTACAAGCATGCCAAAATCTGGTATCCTTTACAGCCAAAAACCATCGTGGCTATAAGGTGTACCAAAATCCAGTATCCTTATAGCCACAAACTACCATGGCTATAAGGTTTACCAAAATCCAGTATCCTCACTGCAAAAAATGAAATACTTGGCAAGATTTTTTTTCCTAATTTAAGATAATTATTCTTATATCAAGATTATATTTCTTGTTTTAAGAATAGTTATCTTGGTTTAAGAAATTATTTATACGTTGAGAAACATGTGAAATTAGTTTTTCTTAAATGAAGATATTATTTCTTGACGCAAGGCTTTGTTTCTTGTTTCAAGATTAAAAACTTAATTTCAAGAAAATTTAACTTGGTATAAAGTGGTTAGAAAGGTTATATCATTACCTGAAGATTATTTATCTTGTCTTTAGAAAAATAATCTTAGGTTTGAGAAAAATTATCTTTTAAGTTCAAGCAAGTGTATATATAAGTTTTCTTGTTTCAAAAATCTTAATAAGATTTATATTTATCTTGGTAAGATTAATACTAATCTTGCTAAGATTTCTAGTAAGATTCGTTCCATTTTTGTAAGATTACTTTTCTTTTATCAAGAATAATTTTCTAGCCAAGAAATATTTTCCTATGTATGGGACAAAAAGAAAAATTATCTTAAATCAATTTTCTTGGTAAGATTAAATTTCTCAAATCAAGAAAATATTTCTCGATCAAGAAAATCTTATATAGAAAAATTTTCCTATGTATGGGACAATATAATTTTGCTTAAATTAAGAAATTTTTGCTCAAAACAAGTTTTATTTTCTTAAAATAAGCTTTTCATTTTTTGCAGTGAAGCTTGCTACAAGCCTGTTGCGAAAAGTCTTGTTGACAAGTGAGGGAACGGATTAGTCTCAACTTGTTAACAAGCTTCCTACAAGCCTCTTGCGAAAAGTCTTGTTGACAAGTGAGGGAACGAATTAGTCTCAACTTGCTAACAAGCTTGCTACAAGCCTGTTGCGAAAAGTCTTTTTGACAAGTTGATGGAACGGAATTTTCTCAACTTGTTAACAAGCTTGCTACAAGCCTGTTGCGAAAAGTCTTGTTGACAAGTTACTGGAACGGATTAGTCTCAATTTGTTAACAAGGTTGCTACAAGCCTGTTGCGAAAAGTCTTTTTGACAAGTTGATGGAACGGAATTATTTCAACTTGTTAACAAGCTTGCTACAAGCCTGTTGCGAAAAGTCTTTTTGACAAGTTGATGGAACGGCATTATTTCAACTTGTTAACAAGCTTGCTACAAGCCTGTTACGAAAAGTCTTGTTGACAAGTTGATGGAACGGAATTATTTCAACTTGTTAACAAGCTTGCTACAAGCCTGTTGCGAAAAGTCTTTTTGACAAGTTGATGGAACGGATTAGTCTCAACTTGTTAACAAGCTTTCTACAAGCCTGTTGCGAAAAGTCTTTTTGACAAGTTGATGGAACGGAATTATCTCAACTTGTTAACAAGCTTGCTACAAGCCTGTTGCGAAAAGTCTTTTTGACAAGTTGATGGAACGGATTTTTGTCAACTTGTTAACAAGCTTGCTACAAGCCTGTTGCGAAAAGTCTTTTTGACAAGTTGATGGAATGGAGTTTTCTCAACTTGTTAACAAGCTTGCTACAAGCCTGTTGCGAAAAGTCTTTTTGACAAGTTGATAGAACGGAATTTTCTCAACTTGTTAACAAGCTTGCTACAAGCCTGTTGCGAAAATTTTATTTGACAAGTTGATGGAACAGAATTATTTCAACTTGATACCAAGCTTGCTACAAGCCTGTTCCGAAAAGTCTTGTTGACAAGTTGATGGAACGGATTACTCTCAATTTGTTAACAAGGTTGCTACAAGCCTGTTGCGAAAAGTCTTTTTGACAAGTTGATGGAACGGAATTATTTCAACTTGTTAACAAGCTTGCTACAAGCCTGTTGCGAAAAGTCTTGTTGACAAGTTGATGGAACGGAATTTTCTCAACTTGTTAACAAGCTTGCTACAAGCCTGTTGCGAAAAGTCTTGTTGACAAGTTGATGGAACGGATTAGTCGCAATTTGTTAACAAGCTTGCTACAAGCCTGTTGCGAAAAGTCTTTTTGACAAGTTGATGGAACGGAATTATTTCAACTTGTTAACAAGCTTGCTACAAGCCTGTTGCGAAAAGTCTTGTTGACAAGTTGATGGAACGGAATTATTTCAACTTGTTAACAAGCTTGCTACAAGCCTGTTGCGAAAAGTCTTGTTGACAAGTTGATGGAACGGAATTATTTCACCTTGTTAACAAGCTTGCTACAAGCCTGCTGCGAAAAGTCTTGTTGACAAGTGAGGGTACGGATTAGTCTGAACTTGTTAACAAGCTTGCTACAAGCCTGTTGCAAAAAGTCTTTTTGACAAGTTGATGGAACGGAATTATTTCACCTTGTTAACAAGCTTGCTACAAGCCTGTTGCGAAAAGTCTTTTTGACAAGTTGATGGAACGGAATTATTTCAACTTGTTAACAAGCTTGCTACAAGCCTGTTGCGAAAAGTCTTTTTGACAAGTTGATGGAACGGAATTATTTCAACTTGTTAACAAGCTTGCTACAAGTCTGTTGCGAAAAGTCTTTTTGACAAGTTGATGGAACGGAATTATTTCAACTTGTTAACAAGCTTGCTACAA